ACTCAATCAACTATTGAATGAAAACTCTGCTCAAACTCAAAAGGAGCTGGCATTATAACTTGAAGTTACTCACCAATGCATATCTTTGCGCCTACGTCAACTCGGAAAAATTTATAAAGAGGGTAGATGGATTCCACCTCAGCTCGAAAACCAAAGAGCGGAAATTTGACACAGCTATGTCTTTGCTGACTCAGTTATAAAGAAAGGATGATTTTTTGCATAAAATCATCACGGGTGATGAAAAATAGATATTGTATGATAACCCTAAACGCAGAAAATTGGGGGTAAATCCCGGTCAACCGTCGACATCGACCCCAAAGCCCAATATTCATGCCAAAAACATTTTGCTGTGTATCTGATGGAATATAAAGGGTGTGGCATACTATGAGTTGCTGGATCCTGACCAGACTATTACTGCAGAGTATTACCCACAGCAACTTATCCGTTTGAGCAACGCATTGGAGCAAAAGAGACCGTATATTGGCTATGGAATTAGGCAAGTGATTTTGCAGCACGACAACGCTCGACCACATGCCACAAAGGGGACGAAGGATGTTATCTATACATTGGGCTGGAAAATTCTCCCTCATGCAGCTTATTCGCCAGATCTAGCCCCGTCCAATTATCATCTATTTGGGTCGTTCCAACATCACCTGGCTAATACGCATTTTAAAACAGTCGAAGATGTCCGAAAAAGCCTTGATGACTTTATCGTGGAAAAAACAGCCAAGTTTTTTCTGCGAAGGCATTCGTCAGCTGCCCGATAGATGGAACAAAGTCATTGAAAATAATGGAAATTATTTCGAACATTAAACTTGTACTTGACTTTTTGTGAATAAACTTTGAATTTCATGATAGAAGGCACCGAATTAACTTGCACTTAATAATAAATATAATAAGTATAATAAAGTTTTAAGTATAATATAATAAATATAAGTATAATGTACGTGAGTATCGTATGTATAATAAACATTTATTTTTTATTAAAATATATCTATTAATTTTATTTCCCTATTAATAAATGTGTTTGTAAGTTTATGCCATGAATGTATGAATACATGGATGGAACGATAAGTGATCTTATGAAGGATTCGCACTGCGTCCGATGTCCGACATACGAGAGCTTGTTTTCCAGACGATAAAATATTTCTAGCTAGAATTTCTAGAAAACAAGCTCTATTATTGGATATCGGACGTCGTACTTTGGACATCGGACATCATCTGTTTCATTTTTATTCATTGCAGGTGGATCGGGTATATCGAAAAATGTTGGTATGGCGTTTGGTTTTAATTTTCGCCAATTATCTGCTCGACCAGTCGCAAACTGTGATTCTTCAAAATGTTTCTGAAATAAAAAAACTGCTTATAAGATAAATGTCCTTATTGATTACAGTTATTCATATTTATGTAATTTCAAACGGTGACAAATCTAAACTACACTTAAAAAAAACGATCCATGATTCTAAACAAACAGAAAAAGTTACGTAAATTGGAAATATAAGAGAATAAACTTACTTCACAGAGGCGCGATGATTTGATTGGTGTCCAAGACTTTCTGCGAAGATTACGTATCCATTGCTGTCGACAAACATCATCCGCAGGAAATGCAAATACTCGAACACCTTTTTCTGTTCTATTGGTACAATTGACCGCAACCACGGTGTAGGAATATAAGGTGGTTTCACGGCAACAAATTTTTGTGATTTTCCTGTCATTGTTCCACATTGAACCGCTAGGTGGCTACGTGTTGAGGGACTTGAAATATATATATGTATATATATACGTATATAGAAATTTTATTAAAATTTTATTATCCTGCGGAACTTAATTATAAATATTCATTTTCTTAAAAAAAACTTAATTTTCTATAAAGACTGGAATACATTATTAATTATTTTTTCTGTAAATTTAACTAAGAATAATTTGTTATAAAAAAATAAAAAAATATTTTGTCAGTAATATATATTTTTATACACAATGTTAAAAGTTTTATTTTAAAAAATTTGTATTATTTAGGATTATAATTATATATAGATGTGCTTTAGAGATTCATCATCTATCCTTTTCTATCCACATCTATCCACATCTTCTATCCTTTTTTACTTGGGATCTTGCACCAACGCGACATCTTGTGTGACATGCCTTAACTATGACATCTTGATCACAGATTTTTTGATAGAATACAATGGTCGTGAAACTACCTTATATTTTTACACCGTGATCGCAACGCAGCAAGGCATTTTGTATCTTTTTTTTGTTCACAGTTGGATAATCAAAATACACGTAAACACAGAGTTCGAGCAGCTTAGAAACCATAACCTAATCATCATAAACTTCTCAGCTCAGCGACAGAGGCGAAAGGGCAAGGAGTGGGGGAA